CATGCCTTGCTTGTATTTCCAGACCAAAATGGTGATTGGATAAATACTTTTGGTAATTTTTGGTGGCGAAACCACCTGAAATTAGATGTCACTCCCCACTAGCGTTGTTCTTCCAACCTCTCTCTATACGTGGCATTCAAAGTTGTTTCATGTGAAGCTTTGGAAATGGCTAACCTAGGGTAAACTCTCCAAATTCTCCAAGACACCACAAAACAAGGGTCCTTTTCCTGTCGAAGCGCCACCTATTTGTTCATCCGAGGCCAAGGCGTTCAAAACGCCAGTCGAAGCGCAGTTCTGAGGCCAGTTTTTGGACAAAACCGTACAAAACCCATATAATTTCAATGCATAAATATAGAAACCTAGATGATCCTAGATGTATATACATACTCGTACAATTATACATCACATACGTATTGTGTATGTGCATATATGTATGTATGTATATATATATATACATGATTCTAGATATATATGTATATATATATACATATATACATATAAACATTATGATCATATATATATATATATACACACATATATGTAGCTCGGGGAGGAGTCTACAAAGGTAGGGACCCAGCTTCCCCTAATCCTTCGGGGTTTCCAACAAAAGGGGTAACCACACCCCAAAAGGCTCAGCCGGCACCCTGTGCCTATGGATGAACGTCCCACGTTACACTTCTCGGATTTGTGCGGCGTCCGCGCCGCTTGTTTTCCACACCTTGCGGAGGAACTTGAGCCATTGGCCCGGTCGAACGGCGAGGTCTCCATGTCGGTACACCTGCAAGGCACATCCAAGGCATATATTGGCTTTTCACACTGGTGTCTTTTCTTTTTTGGATGTGCCTTCATCTTGCTTGGTCATCCATCTTGATGCCATCTTCTTATGTGTATTGTTTTTGAGTGTCTGATCTTCATCGAAAATACGAAAACGACCCAAATGCAAAACAGTTCGTAAAAAGCTGGCATCCATCGGCTTCGTAAGGCAGTCTGCCAACATGATGGCTGTCGAAATCCATCGGCATTGTGTATGACCATCTGACTGTTGTTTGATTAGCATGACTTCCACAGTTGTTCTCGGCATGCGGCTGATACGGCGCCCTTGGAAGGGTTGCCAATTTTGAGATGTGCCATTTACGATCCCTTGGAAGGGTTGCAAATTTCAAAAATGATGCTTGCGGAAATGGGGGTATAGGATTTGATTTTTTTGAGTTTTTAACATGTTGCACATGCTGTCGTATGATCATTAGGGGGGGTGGGGGGGTGGGGTGGGGGTGTATTAACTTTCTTGACGAGCACTTCCTTTACGTTACGGAAGATGCACACGTTGCACATGCTGTCGTATGATCATCAGGGGGGGTGGGGGGTGGGGGGGTGTATTAACGTCCCTGACGAGCACTTCCTTTACGTTACGGAAGATGCAAACGTTGCACATGCTGTCAGTTGTGTCAAAGATTATCCCCACAAAAGGTTCAAGTTGGCCCAAGTCAACCACAAACAAAATATCTTTACTAAGACTAAGACTTATCATTTTCGAGGTCGTTTGTGGGATAAATCCTATAGAGCCATTGTTGCTGGTACCCAACAAATGGATGGAACATGGAAACACTTGAAAAAATGGCGACCTCCGTCGATGCTCCACAAAAAAAACAAAACGTGTACAAAAAAAGGTACACTTGGGCCTACAGCTGGACATGGCGTCACAACGCTGCCTTGTTGCAGACTGTGGCTTCTGCATTGCCACAAGCGCTCTGGCACCGCTAGCGTCGAGAAGAGGAAAAAACTGGAAGAGTGAATGTCGCCCTGATATGATTCGGATGATTGAAAATCATAAATTTCTAATGTTTTTTTCTTGACCCTTGAAGAGCAAAATCGAGTCACCGCGCAGGCGAAACGCACATTTTCACTCTTGAGTCACACGCCTGCCAATCGAAATGAATGTCCATGTTGCAAACATTTTTTGACGACTCCTGCAAATACCAGCATTTTGTCTCTTAGCCTCAAAAATCAGAATTTCAAATTCGTCACCCTTACAAGGGCGCCGAGTCAACCGGTTGCCTTGTTCTCCATTCTTGGCAGTTAGGAGTTGCCAACTTGGATACTAAATCAAAAAGGGACTTGCAGTCGGTGATCAACAGTGCTTTTGGTTCATCTTGTAGAGACTTTTCTGGGTACTGCCATTTAAAGCTTGGATTGTGGATGAAGGCCCACATACATCGGATCCATGTCAGCTTATCCAGGGATGAACTCATTGCATACGCCTCAGCGCTCAGCGTTGACCTGACTACCCGGCCAATTTGCTTGGAGTTCCATGCAACAGGACTGATGTCAGACGTTTTGTTTTCACTCAGTGCTTTACTGCATGCAACTATAAATAACCCCTGTTGCGCTCGGAGCTGAGAAGCGGATGCAAAACTGGCGTCACCAAAACTTGCAAAGGTTGTTTCTTCTAGAGACAGCGGACGTATCTGGATAGCAGTTGGTGCCGTCTCTTTCGCTTCCAACAGTACTTTGTTACCATCTAAAAGATGCTGAACTTTGGCCTGAGGGATGCTTTTCTGTAAAAACGACACCTTTGCTGCCAGATCCGGACGGCTGTGCACAGCAGCGTACTGGAGGCTGCCGCACAGGGCACGCAAGTCCTGAACTTCTTGTTCAGTGGCGTTGTCATCCTTTTGGATTCTCCTATTCTTAGCTATGTTTATGGGATCTATCTTATTGATATATTCCCCTTGGCTAATTCGAATGGAGTTGTCTGGCAATTGTTCGATGTCCAATCCGGTGAACTTGAACTTTCGGTATTCTCTTTGTCCAAAGGGCAAGATTTTGTGGAGTTTGGCCAGTGCCTTTTCAAATACTTCGTTTCCTCCCCCAATACCATCATCGACATGAGTGCCAAGGATCCCATTCAATTTCTGTGGATTCTGAGGGTCTCGCAACATGAAGAGGCATCCATCCAAAGGATGTGCACTAAAGCCTAAACTTTCCAGCTGCTTGCGAAGTTCACGATAGAAGAGGAGTGGTGCATCAACCCTTCCGTACGCATTTCCTTCCAACAAACATACTTCATCTTTGCCCATTTTCAGGAGGTCCCGTAGCTCACTTACTGGTTCCATGGCTAGTTCTCTACCATCAGCTCTTCCCCTGAGGAATGCAGTCGTGATGTCAAAGCTTTGGATATCCCAACCTGAGGAACACACTGTTTGAAAAAGGAGTTGTCGGGCATCTCTTCCAAGTGTTGGACTGTCGGTGTTTACTTGATCAATTTCCGGATCTTGATAACCCCTAACAACAAGGCGAGCTTTGTGTTTATGCCCACTTGGTGAAGTTGGGTCTGGCTTATATGTGAGGATCCACCTCGAGGTCATGATTCTGTCAGGGTGAATGCGATTCCTCAGGATCCTTTTCACGGTGCTTGTTTCAAGCCAGCAACGGAGCTCTTTGTCCTTAGCTCGGTCGAAGAGTTGCTTCTCTTCGGAGCTAAGCGTGGAATACCTCACTTCGGCTCGGGACTTTTTGGCCGCAGTTGTCAAAAGCACGGCGTGGATTTTGGGCTGATGTGATACTCTTTCCATCAGCTGCCAGGGCATCTCGAATTCAAAACTGCAATGGTCCAGCGATTGGTCAATCGCATCTGTCCAAAGTGTATCTTCGTCACCTTGTAAGACAGGGCCATCAGGAACAGATTCCACTATGCAGGCATCGTGGACTACGTTATCGGTAGTGGCTACATGATGAGCTACACTATTTTCCCCTTGGCTCTCCCCTACAGAGGATGCTTCCCCAAATGATACATGTGAGTTTTCTCCCATGTTTTCTCCCCCTTCCGCTGGGTTTGAAGGTGCAAGTGAAGGTTCATATGAAGATCCGGCATGGTCGCTTTCAAAATTGTCATTGGGTATCGGTGTTTCAACTGGAGTTTCCAATGACATTTCGGGGACTTCTATATTGGAAGCTCTTCGGGTTGGTTCTTCTTCGGGTTGTAAGGCTGTGTGTTCTCTAC